GACAATTTGGCTTTGTGCGTTGCAACTGAGAAAGTAATGGAACTACGATAAGATTGTACTTGATGTATTAACTAAGTGCACAAATAAATTACAGGCTTTAGACTAATGTCCAGTGCGTGGCATCGGTTAACACGTTATTATTTATTTAGTGTTCTGTCTGACGACAGGTCCATATGAACAGGATCCTTCCATCCTTTTCTCGGACTGGGACCTGTTCATATACGTTCTTGGCAGATGATCCAGAAGTGGTTTACCATTGCCTTCTTCTGAGTGTGAATGGAGTAATTGTTGGGATGCAACGGAACCGCTAAACCGCATTGGCTCTGGTTAACACGTTACAGAGATATAACTTGCAAATCTTTCAAAGCTAAAACCAAGATGTCTTGTTTGGAAAGACCTTTATTTTGCTTTTAAGATGTTATTTAACAGTGCCAGACTAATTGGACAGCTTCTGCTTCATTTCCTACCTTCCTTCACACTACAAGCACAATAAATTTCATGAACAAACAGTTTTTTCTCTCTCTGTGATCCTGTTCTGTCTCTGCAGTAAGTAAGTGTGGAGTATATGTAGATGTCACAGAAAAGTAGTTTCAGCCTTGGAACTATTTTAGGGATATGATCGTATATGTGTCCGCCAGTAGAGGCTTGGCCTAACCTCCGACATACATATTTACATACCCTACACCTTAATTAGAAAGTCTGTTAAAGAACAATTTTATTCGTCTTGATTTAGTACATTGGCTTTTAATAGCAAATCTCTTTCAACAGCAAAGATTTCGAAGTATCGACTGGTAGGATTATTTGCGAACTGAAAAATACGCTGGAGAAATCAGGGATTTAACCTGTTTTAACGCACTATCCTAGCACTTTGCTGGTGCGACTGAGGAAAATCACAAACATAACAGAATAGCCGGTCTGCGGGACTATAATCAAACCCTGGGCATGCTAAGTACGAGGAACTCGCGCTAACCACTCCACCTTGACGTTCGGTACCAATCGTTGCGGGTGTGATATCCACCAGGCTAATAATGCATACGGCATGAGAGGTAGGATAGCTCAAAAAATGGACGGTCTGGAGGGTCAAGGTTAGATATCTGGCAGGGGCAGCCGTTTTCTTCTTGAAATGACAATGTCTGCCAGACCACCCAGGTAACCCAGTGAAAACTATATTTCCGGTAAGTGAACCTGGTCACTCACTTACATGTACTTACAGTCGACAGCGTTTTAGGCCAATTACGTTAAAACACCCAAATTTAGTGCCGAAGTCTGTAATGTATGGACAGTTACACATATTCATAGTTCCCACATGACTTCATAGCAAGGAGATTAGCGTCTTTGTTATGATCACTCTTGTTACCATCAAATTCAGAAGCGTATTGTACTTCAGCAGCTTATGTGTTGTTTCTGCAGTACCTCTGATCTCCACAGCACACATCAGTTATGCAGACTGGACGAACACAACGGGGGGAGGCCTTGGAGCAGACGTGTTCTGACGTATCAACGCGAGGCGTAGCTGTACCATCTGCGACACCGCCCTACGTTAACCGCAGACCGCAAAACATTCTGCTCTCTGGCTGGAGATTCTTGTTATGTAACGAAGCGAAGCCGGAACCATTCAGACCCAAGCAGTCAGTACGTTTGTTACTTCCATTCGAAGCACAAATTCTTCAGTTCATAAGCTACAATCTGTCAATTTATAAGATGGATGTTAGTCCCATAATGGCTCGGAACAAGGGCCAACGATCCATTAATCAAGAAATGCTGTGCAATGGAGTTTATTAACACAAGCGTCGTAATAACCAGCAACGGATCGTACGTTTTAGGATGTGCCTACTTCGTATTCAGAAGCTCCAGGGTCCAAACCCCTGCCCGGACATCGGACCAACTGTTATTTCTGAGCTGAATACGAAGGCGATATGTTTCCCCGAAACACTGGTAAGCACCTACAAGACTACACGGCGTCACAAGATGGCCACATCATATCACTCACGACATCACATTTTACAGCGAGACACGAAAAACTATTTATTAATTGATAGCCGTATGGAAAAGGCGGTGGGTTGTAGTGTAGTCTGGAGAAGTTTACCGACGTACGTGCTGCCTCCATAATAAGGGCAATCGTCTTTATGCTTGTATTGTGCAGAAAATCATGAATCCTTGCTCAGACACGAATATCTTTCTCGTGGATTATGCACGACCGCCTGACACTCATAATACGAATCCTTAAGCAGTCAATCAGGCGATGGATACTGGGTTAAACCCAGACACCGGTCACCATTTGGTGCAATGCAGGAGTGAAGAATTATCACTTCACATTTTAGCCTTGATGTGAGTAAGCAAAATCATCAGCTATACGAAACATGTTTTGACAGCTCAGAGCAGCAAGAGTTCCGAGGTGCAGAGGACGCATGTGTGAACTTTGTGATGTGTTTCACAAAGTCTTAACAGGCATCCGAAGCTGCCTTACTACTTTTACAGATAAAAATGTTTCTTGCTGCGTCCAAGTTTCAAATAACTCCAGATAGAATGTCTTCACCTCAGACTGTGACCACGGCTTCACCCTGAAATACCTTTCTTCTCTCTTCTTTCCTGTATCTCAGTGTCAGTTAACAACTATAGCAACATTTTATACTTTGCCCTAACAACCGTTATAGTGCTATAGTTTTCAGGGATGCCAATGAAATCGTCCGCAAATCAAGACTATTATTGACATACAAAGAATTTTCTTATCAACTCCACTGAGTTTTATCCTTCTTGAGATGACGGTTGCACATGTCGTCAAGAGATTCCACCCATATTACGCACGTCCTACACCCTATCTCTATGAGACCCATTTTACTATTATCCTCCATAGCTATCGCGTCTCTTCTGTTCAGGTTATCGGACTAAAATTCTGTGCGAACTACATGTTTCGCCCATCTCCTACTAGATTTGTTAGCACAGTAAAGTAACTTAGTACTGAACGGATGGCCGAAGTTCGATGTTATGTATCAGCAGTGATTTTTTTCAATTCGTTAGTACGTCCAGACCGATTCTAAAGCTTACCGAATCTGCTATGAAAATGGCACTGGAGTTTGTCGTACTGGCAGTAACGTGGCCAGAGTGTGAAGCTAAACACTCCCACATCTGTCGCAGATAATAACGCATGGAACTTTACCTCAAGTCCTCCTTCAATAGCTTCATGGTGTGATATTGACATACACGGGAATTTATGCTTTTAAAATATAAGAAAAATGTACCTGCACAATGAAGATTGATGATCGTGCAAAGTAATTTGATGGGTCTGCTTCAGACACTCACCGAACAGAGTACAGTACGATGGACGTTGAAAGTGGCTTATTGTTTTTATTCTTCAGCTCTTTGAATTAAATTTTTACATTCGCCTTATTACATGCTAAATGCATCTAATATCTAACGGTAGAAATATGAAAGTTATCATTCAGTTATTTATAATTCTATGGTAACGGAATGTTCAAATGCGCAGTAGAACAATGCAGAATTTTACCATGAAGTTTCTGGTTGTTGAGGGAGTTCCTAGTTCAGAAATTTGTCAGCCACTGTCTGCAATGTTAACAGACTACACTCTTCTCATAATCAGGATGCCTTAAGGATTTCTGCATTTCTGCGAAGGACCTAGACCGTCATGTCGATGCCAGAAGTGTGCGCTGTTTGATCCCAAGGGATAATTTGGAGAAGAAAAATTCCATAGTCCCGTAAATATGGATCTATTAGCACACAAATTCCTATCCTTGCTCTTTGTAGGGATTTGCATAAATGTCTGTGTTACGTTAGCAACACCGTAAGAATAACTGCTACAGGTCTTCGCTGCCTGTTCCTGTTCAGGTGCCTACAAGGTCGATACATAACGCTGCCTACTGAAAAATTAAAGACATTTTTTCAAATAATTCTGCGTACCATGTGATCATCACCATCCATTTATATTTCTACGAGGGTGGGTTGCAAATCGCTATCCGTTGATTTTCATCCTTTCAGAGTGGTCCTCTAGTTGTGTCCACTTCTCCCTTTTTTATTATTATTATTAGTGTTCTGTCTGACGACAGGTCCATATGAACGGGATCCTTCATCCTTTTCTCGGACTGGGACCTGTTCATATACGTTCTTGGCAGATGATCCAGAAGTGGTTTGCCATTGCCTTCTTCTGTGTGTGAATGGAGTAATTGTTGGGATGCCACGGAGAAACCGGGGATCCCCCGGAGGAAAACTCCGTGATACCTAGACCACGGTCTTGCCCAACACAAGTTATAAATCTGAGCACCACCGGGAATTGAACCCGGGACCCCAGGATTACAAGGCTAGTGTTCTGACCACTAGACCACCGTGGCGGTTACTTCTCCCTATTCTTCTATTTTGTGTGTTTACACGCGCGTGTAGTTTTGTTTTCCGTCAATTCATCATTTGGTCCCTCCAACATGTTGATCTTCACAAGGGCTCTTTATTCTCCGTCTTCACTACTGACGCTCTGACGTCTATGCCACTGTATCCTTAATTTGACAAACTTCTGTTGTGGCTTCTACCCTCGGTTCTTCTCTATATTTATACCATAAATTATCTACCACTGTTCTTTCTTAGCACTCCGCAGTAACTTAATTTCAACTGCGTTTAATATATTAATATCTTTCATAGTCCATTATTATATTTTTGCTTCTTATATACAAATTAAAAACAAAATGTTCTATGTAAGATACTACCTTCCATCACAAAGCCACTATAATTAACGAATGAATTATATTTGGGACCATATCCGGTATATATTTTTAGCAAATTTCAAAACTATGACAAAATTCTCTTGTACCTCACTTCTAGTCAAATAGCCCTCATTATTTCAAACCCACGTCCAAGTCATTCGCGTATTTTACTGTCTCTTTGTGAAAATAAAAAGAATCAGTATGCTAATGTCTGTCCCGTCTCCGCTTTCCCCTTCCTCATTCAGTCATCCCATCACTGCATCTTCCGCTACACAAGGGCATCCCGTGTTATGCTTCTCTATATAAAGCAGAGCGCCAAGAGTGGAGGCAGGTGAGACACGTTATCATCATCCTTAAACGGGCATCACCACCATGGTCGCCTACGTCACTGTGAGTAAAGAGTGTTCTTCGATAAAATTACATAGTTTTTTAAATGTAACACACAAACACAATCATCGTAATACTCAGACACGGGGAAGGATGAATAAACGAGAGAGAAACAAGGAATGCATATAAAATTTTCTTGGGTAATCGTCTTAGAAAATGGCAACTTGGATGAAGTGTAAAGCATCTAAAGAAAGGAGATAATCGTTTCGAAGTAATCGATGCATCTTATTTTTAACATTGACACTGTATCAAACAATGTTTACAAGTTCTAAATTTCTCTAATTTTATGCAAAAAGTCGACCTAACAATTCAGGTGTGTATGTGTCGAAATATGGTTTCTGTATTACTTATAGTTAAGTATAGCACTATATTACTTAATTTAAAATTTAATTTATTTTTAGTAGTTCGATAAATCTAACAACACAAGAGGTATGGATCTATACATCGAAGCACAATTCTCCTAAAATGTATAAATCTGTACAGCATTATATCGAACGACATGTTTATATGAAAACATTTCTTTCAAACGCAATCGACATTTCAAAGTATTTCATACTTAAGTTGGTATTACAATCGTCATTGTCCTCAGTTATAAAAAGGACCTCTTTCAGCCTCCCTGATTGCCATTTGTTCATTTTCATTCAGACCTCTTCGAACTTATCGCCATGTCTTTTCTTCAATTTGCCGAATAACTATTTTATTCCTTCCGCAAATCAATGTCCATTCATTTATTGTCTCTTGATTCAAGAAAACAAGCATAAGATAATTAGATTTTATAAAATTAAAGTAATAAAGATGACAGTCATAAACCCTCACTCGCTCACGCGCGCGTTTGTATAAGCCTATGCATAATTAATGTATTTCTACATCTTTCATGCTCGTATATTTATTTTTCTGCCTGCCATAAATGTACGACGTTCTCAGTCTGATGGTGATATAAACTTACGTTGTATGTTAATTAAGGAAGTTTAATTTTTTTAATTTCGTTTAATAATTGTAGATGGGCGACCTTCACTTCGCAAGGCCTCTGCCTACAAGCGTTCTAATATAATATATAACTGCCCAACAGAATAACAACTGGTTAAACAAATACCATATACAATTGGTTAATAGAGATTTGACTCCGTGATCGTAATGTTCGAGTGAATCAATATCTTACATGCCTTAGATCGCGCTGCAGTATGTTTACGTAAAATTATTGATCTAAAACTGCCGGAATTTGGTAAACAAGTAGACACTGTTTTTTTAAACCACTGTACAAGGACTTTCTAAGAGAAAACGAGAGACTAAACAAATAGAACACTGAAGATGGAGAAAACTGAATCCCAGCTAAGTTGGGAGTGAGGCTGTCAAATTTCATTTATGGCAAGAAAAGGACAAAAAACCGGGACTAATTAGTTATTTACTTTTTTCTCAATTAGATCGCCCAGTTTCCCGTCGGTGACAGAACTTTCACCAAAAGCAAATGTAAAATCCTGTCTAAAAAGGAAAACCTGCTTCTAGTAGGATGTGTTTAATTTTAAGTCCCTTGATAATGCTGTTTAACTGCACACGTAAATAATCATAATGTCAAAACTAAGTACGAACCTAGTGCCTCCGAGCCTAAGTCACGCCCATTACATCAGACTTTCGGAGGCGGTGGTTGTGAGTTTCACACTTTTACAAAGCCCTTTATCGGGGAAATGTATTTAAAATCAAACAGTTCCCTATCTGATCAGAAGTAAAGTTTGTCCCACTATACGCCATGTAGGCGTTTGGGGTGAGAGGAGGTATAGCTCCTCTCTTTCTTGACCTCGGCACTAGATGGGGGTGAGTGGTCAGCATCACGCCCCGGACGGCTTTACCCCCGGGAAAGGACCCCGGTACCCATTGTAGAGGAGGCTGGGTGGGCCCCAGAGCCGGTCTGGACGCAGAGGCTAGAGGAAAACGGCACTAGATGGGGGTGAGTGGTCAGCATCACGCCCCGGACGGCTTTACCCCCGGGAAAGGACCCCGGTACCCATTGTAGAGGAGGCTGGGTGGGCCCCAGAGCCGGTCTGGACGCAGAGGCTAGAGTAAAACTCCTCTGCCCCTGTCGGGGATCGAACCCCGGCCGTCCAGCCCGTAGCTAGTCACTGTACTGACTGAGCTATCCCGGATCATGATGAAAGCCTGTAAACCGAAAAATTATATTAAACGTACTACGATCTTGGTTAAAAAAAATCATGCTATTCAGATTAAAAATCCCCCATTTTGTCTTATCACATGGTATTTGTCTAATCAGTTGTTAACTGTTGGCCACTTATATAATTTTATATCAGATAAATTCTTGACAATGTCTGGACCTAAACAAGAGTTTGTTGTAAATTGTATTATCGAGGAGTTTCTTTAACTGCACTTTTCACCACACAGAATAATATTACGGTGATAAAACCAAGGAGAATGCAAGAACCTTATCTCTTAAGATTTCAACCTAAGCTACATCAAAATCACTGTCAGCAATTTACGTCAAGAAAGAATAATATGCAAAGAAAAAAGCAAAATTCAGCCCGCGGACTACAGGTTGTGTATCATTCTTACATTCTTAAAGACAGCATAACCTAATATGCTGAAGACAAAGGCAACAGGTCCCTCCGGAATAACAACCCAGAAGTCTACATAAAGTCTGTGTCAACAACTTTGCCACTTCCATCTGGCTAGGAAAGCTGTGAAAATAATTACCTTATTTAACGACGCTATTTTAACAGAAGGTATTAAGTCTACACAGCGCGGAATGATAGAAGATGATAATAGGCGATGACTAGGTCTGAATATGGCAAGAGCTGATCGTGGCTTGTTTCATGAGAAATAGGGAAACCACGAGAATTCTTAGTCAGGACGGGCTCAGATCCGAATATAGTAACTCCTGCAGAGTGTTGCCGCCACACCAACCTGCGAGTATGCGGTATACAGGAAAGAAAGTAAATTCGGAAACAGGTTCCACCGTTTTCATCGCGAAGGATTTGTGAAAGTAATAAATGAATTAGTTTGTCTCCAGGTTGTTTACGTTTAAATATACGATTAAGAATATATTGACAAAAGTTCAAATACGGTTTTAGACATTAGCTGCAAATACAAGCCATTTACTAAAACGAACAACGATATTTCTACATCACAAGCGGACAATTAAGGAACTACGGAGAAAGGAAAGTACTGATATCCACTGTGGGATATGAAAGCGAGGGAAAGTAGTTAAAAGTACTCTTCCACTCATTGAGAAACGAGCCAAGATCAAGAGGAAACAACCTCTTCCTTCTGATGGAACAAAGGTTTCTTACCTAACTTGTCATTATATTAGCATAATTCTAGTAATATCTTGTCTGTGCTTCTGCTTTTCTAACGAATTTTGAATCAACTATCAGATTTTGTAGAGACGTTCTTGAAAGGACTAAACAAAATAGTAAAACTCAAGAGAATCTTTGTCCCGGAGAACAGTCAAATCAGAAACATCCCGAAAATTATAGAAAGCTATTCTCATTCAGTCAATTTCCTTATAAGTATATAACATTAAGTAAAATGTACTTTCCAGGTTATGCTACTGGTTCTGGCAGTGTCAGCGCTGGGCTGGGAAAACCTGCCCGCAATCCCAGCGGGTCGTCGCGCAGAGTACTACCTGTTGGAAGACGACGGCGCCTACAGGTTCGGGTACGACACGGGGGAAGGCCAAAGCGCGGTAGTAAGTGCCGACCAGAGCAATCAGGTGCAGGGCCAGTACTCCTACGTGGACAACGGAGGGAAGAGGGTCAGAGTCGCATACACGGCCGGTGACTCCGGGTTCCTGCCCCGGCAGGGAGGGGGACAGACGGTGGCTGGTAGAGCGGGGTTCGCAGGCAAGAACTTCCAGCAAATTCCATTAGACGTATCTTCGGTCACCATGTCATGGTGATGGACGTAGCCTAAGCAATACAAAATATAAAGTTTAATAGGTGACTAAATGTAATTAAAGCATCTTCGGAGATCAGATGTATCAACGCACAATGTCATCATAAGTTATAAAGACAATTTCCGAAATATCGGAACTATATTCACTGAAGGCCTAATAGCCAGAGACGGACATGTGACAGGCACGTAATGGTTTCAGTACCTCAGATTATATAGCATCGAATGATAGGAAGAGCTGTGCACAGTGGGTTGAAGAATAAGTGGAAGGAGAATTCAAATACTGATTTACGTTTCTACGATCTCGGTATTTGCTTTGGCGGACTGAGAAATGGGAAAAACAATTAAGAATCTCGGGCAGGATATTCGAGTCAAACTGAAAATCTTATAAATATGGTTCTTTTGTAGCTTAATGGTAAGTTCTGATCAATTCAGAGAACGTCATTAAACAGAACACGCAACATGTTCCTTCTACAGGTTCCGGGAACAATGTAGCAAGTTTCAAGACGCCCGTCACGAGTGGTGGCTTTGCCTCCGACGGTGGCCAGGGTGACGACAACTACGACGCCAATGCAGATGCCTCCTACTCCTTCTCCATCGACACTGACAACTACAAACGTACTGAGTCCTCCGACGTTAAAGGAAACATCCGTGGTCAGTACTCCTACAGCAGCCAGGTTGGTGGGAGCCACGGTTTGAGCTACATCGCAGGCGAAGGCACCGGCTTCGTCGTTACCGGCAGCGACAGTGGTGCAGGAACCGGTGCTGTCTCTGCCACAACATATGCTCCTCTCGCATCGTCATCCTACTCTGGAGGGAAAGCTGCTGATACCACAAGTAAACTTAACAACGACGGGTCTTACTCGTTCTTCTTCAACACGAATGATCAATCCCGGGAAGAATCAGCCGATTCCCAGAACAACGTGAGAGGCAGTTACTCGTTCAAAGCAAAGGACGACGGGCAGACTCGACGTGTAGACTATACAGCAGGTTCAGCAACCGGCTTTGTCGCCACAGGAAAGCACCTTCCGGTCCCTTTGGTGCCGGCAAGTACAGCGTCATTGGGATATTCGTCTCGCGGCCAGTCAAGTCTTCAGTCTTTTGGCCAAACAGGCCCTTCGTCTTATTCGTCTGCCCCCGGTAGCAGTGAGGCACTAGGCGGCATTGGTTCTGACGGTTCGTATTCATTTTCATATAATACTGGCGACAGTTCCAGGCAGGAATCTGCTGATACCCAAAACAACGTACGCGGAAGTTTCTCTTTTAAGGCCAAGGATGATGGACAAACACGAAAGGTTGACTATGAAGCAGGCGCGGCTACAGGATTTATAGCTAAGGGTTCACACCTTCCAGTTGCACCCGATCCGCTATCATCTTCAGCTGGAAGCTTCACGGAAGGCTTCAGTTCACAGTCTTCAGTTGCTAGCCCTTACACTGGCTCCTCATCAAGTTCCGAAGGAGAAGAAGCACCATCTGGTGATGCGTCTTATTCATTCTCTTATAATACAGGCGACCAATCTAGACAAGAAATTTCTGATGCACAAGGTAATGTCAAAGGTCAATTCTCATTCGTAGCAAAGGATGGAATCCAAAGGAAAGTGGACTACACTGCAGGAGTTGGAAAAGGATTCATAGCTGAAGTTCTTCCTTCAGGCGCACCAACGCCATTAGGTCCTTTCTCCAAGACGCCAGTAACATCCTACTCATCAGAAGCTGGAAGTCGAACACCAGTTGGACTTCAGAACGATGGCTCTTACTCTTTCTCATACAACGCTGGTGACCACAGTCGCCAAGAATCAGCTGATGCTCAGAATAATGTTCAAGGAACCTACTCCTTTACGGCTAAGAATGACGGTCAGACCAGGCGCGTAGACTACGAGGCAGGTGCTGCAACTGGCTTCATAGCTAAAGGAGCTCACCTGCCTGTGGCTCCATCTCCTTCTGGAATCCTAAGTGGTTACTCCTCTTCCCCCTCACAGTCCTCTGCCAGCTCTTACTCCGCCAGTGTCGATGCTCCCGTTTCCTCTACAGGAACACAAAGTGACGGGTCCTACTCCTTCTCCTATAAGACCGCAGATCAAAGTCGCCAAGAATCAGGTGACGCTCAAAACAACGTGCATGGCAGCTTCGCGTTGAAAACAAAGGATGATGGTCAAACACGCCGTGTGGACTACGAAGCGGGAGCAGCTACTGGTTTCGTTGCTAAGGGCGCACACATTTCAGCGAGTCCATTAGCACCTTTCTCAGCGCCAGATGCTACAAGACTAGTTTTGTCATATAACCAACCATTAGCTTCAAGCCCATACTCCGGTTCTGGCATTGCGGCGATACCAGAGTCTTCTGACGGCTCGTATTCCTTCTCGTTCAACGCTGGAGATCATTCTCGTGAAGAATCATCAGACGCTCAGGGCAATACACGAGGAAGATATTCGTTTACCAGTAAAGATGATGGTAAAACACGGGAAGTAGTTTATGAAGCCGGTGCTGGGAAAGGATTCATTGCGAAAGGGGCTCATATACCAGCATCAGGCTCCATTGATTCAGCAACTGGTGCCTTTGGTTACCAGGCATCATCAACACAAGGTCTCACTGGTTCAAGAAGCAGTGCTATTGGTTATCAGGTGTCGCCAGTTTTCCAAGGAATCGCAGTAGATAGGTCCCAAGACGGCCAGAGCAGTGGAGACGCATCTTATTCCTACGAGTACGAGACCGACAGCAGTAGGAAACAAGAGAGCTCAGACCCACAGGGAAATGTTGTGGGAAGCTTCTCCTACTTAGGAGGCGATGGCGTTAGCAGGAGGGTCCATTACACGTCGAGGGATAATGAGGGCTTTGTAGTTTCAGGTGAACACGTTCCAGAACCTGTGAGTGCTGGCAGAACTGGAGCAGAGTCAGGATTTGGTGCATCCAACGTTCAGACTGCAAGTCCCAGATCCTCACACATCAAATCACAGGATGTGAGCACGGCCAGTTTTAATCTTCAAAAATACTTGCCTCCGCAGAGTCCAAGAAAGTTTGGTTACATCTTCGATACAAAAGTCTGAGGTTGCAACTTTGTCACTGCTGCTGAGATAAATGTTAAACGTGCCAATATACCTTGTGTTCAACGACGGAATATTTTAATATCACTACAGAGATTTTACAATTTCAAATGTAAATGTTGTTAGTTGTAATTATAAGGTACTGATTATCCAAATTACTTCGTGGGAGGAGTAACATTATCTTACGTAGTGAAAGTTAAACAACCAAAATAATGCTATGATTGCGTGTACGGAAGAACAACAGCACAGACAATTACATGTCATGGAAAAGTATTATTACAAAAAGGAGTAAATTGAACTTGCATGAAGCTCGTAATTCAACGGAAATATCACTGCCTAATTTCACTGCCACAAGTAAATTACTTTCAATCTCGATATCCAACCAACTGCCAAATGAACAGCTGTTCTCGTATGATGCATCTATTCGAAATCGATCTGCATATTAAACTACAACGCTCGCGTCTAAAAATGCAATAGAACTAATGATAAAATTAGCATATGGTTTATTTTAATTTAGGGTATTCTGATTAAAAGACATTGACATGCTGTCTATAAATTTTAAACAAGATTAAAATAAAAATTTTCTTGGATATTATCCATCGTCTAGTAAATATAAAACGTAAAACGACGTTTCGGAGATGGGACTCAATGTCCGTCTTCAGGTTCCTACACAGTTGGGCCAACTAGATAGAGCTGATCCCTAGTCCCATCTCCGAAACGTCGTTTTACGTTTTATATTTACTAGACGATGGATAATATCCAAGAAAATTTTTATTCAATTGACTCTTCACCATCGTCAAGAAGTTTTAGATTTGATATAAGATTAAAATATTTTCAGCGCCACTAGTTATTTACGTGAACATCAACACGCACGTTAAAGCCTCTCAGAACGAACTGCGACTTTCATGATTACCTGGTACGCCCATGAGTATGAATTAAAACAAATTCTGAAGAGAGAGTAATAAGTGATTCAAAACTTCATTTGTGAATGAATGACTCCACTGTACTGTAGTTAGTGCAAGTTCATCCATCTCAGTTATTATATCCGAAGATAACTTGTACTCTTTCTACTTCTGCTCTATAATTCCACTTAATCCCGGTTCGCAACAAATGTTCACTATACGCCAGCAGGATCGACCAAATTAGCTTGACGTTCCTGCTCACGAATTTCCAGGTAAATTGAACTGGCATATGCTACATGACACAGGCAATTACAAATGGTATTACGAATAAGGCTGTTGTATAGACATTTCGGTTTCTTTTTCGGGCATAAATACAATTTTCTTTTAATTTAAGGTCAGTTAAGAAAAAGAATTTATCTAGAGAAGAAGCCAACGAGAGATAAACCACTCACAATCTACCTTTTAGTATATTTACAATTTCAAATTATTGTTTATATGTTCCCCTTTCTTGCCTCAGTCATTCTTCATAGGCTGTATTTCCAAGTTCGTAAGCCCTGAAACTATGGTCCCTTTTTCAACCGTATATGATTATTAATACAGACAATTTTCTACACTAACGTAATTGTTTGTATAATTTTCCTTTTCAGTATTATGTTACTTATGTTTCGTCTTACGGGTTAAAATTAAAGAAGCGTCTTTTCACTTACTTGGAAAACTATACATCCTTTTTCATAAATATGTTTTTTCCTTTCTATACAACACCGTGGAGTAAAATTTAATAGCTGACCCAGTGACGTATAAGGGTCCAATGAAGTGTAGTATAAAGAGTATTGCAGCGAAAATGATGGATTTTGATTTATCTGTCTAAAAAAAAGTTTAAACTGAAGATCTAACACTCCTTACTAACAAAGATTGTGACACACCAATGTGTGACATCCTTATAATTCATGCAATGTAAAAAAATGATAAAAAAATTAGTACTCTAAGTAAGAGTGCAAGTAATAACCACATTTTTATTGGGCAATTAATCTGTGATCATGTATGAAACAGAATTATTGTTTTGTTATTGAAATATTAATGTCATTAAATATTTTGTTTTATTAAACAGACTGTTATTATTTTGACGATCGGTCCCCTCTGTTCCTTGATGTAAAGACATAAATATCTCGTTACACAAAGTATCTCATTAGGAGAATTATTTTCTGAACGTACCTATTATGCAACCCATCCCATCGTCCTTCTTATGAGCACAGACCACTCCTGCTTTAAACTCTGTGTTTCATAAACTAAGAGCCACCTATTTCAATTTTAAGGCTTTTGTAAATTATAAACGGGAATGGAAACAAACGAGAATAATTATACTCATTCTCTTTCGGTTGGGCAACTATCTAATGTCACAGTTCTACTATTCATCTAATATGCGATAATATCACAAAAGAGTACAATGAGCTAGTGTAAAGTATTGTAGGAAGGATATACAAACTATGACAGGGAGAGAGTGAGCAAAGACGCGAGAGGATTATTCATGGTAGAAAGATAATGGAGAAGGTTTTATAGCAAGAGAATCTGTGCTGCTAGAAACATCAGTGGATGAGGAAAATGATTATGATGAAGGGTGCAAATGAATGCAAGAACAGAAGTTGGTGATAAAACACCTATTTTATAATTTTATATGTTTTGCTACAAAAACGACACATCCCATGCATTCATCATTTACTTAGTCGTAGCCAGGGTCATCAATATCACTCAGACAAATGACTGGAATTATGAGAGAATAAAAGGAAAGGACAGAAGATTGGGGTACTATAGGATTCAATAAAAAACCTTTTTAATAAACCTTCTCAGGCTTAACGAGAGGATAGGAATAAGTGGCATAGGGGTAAAAACTAGCACCATAACTGATGGGTACAGCGGCATCATGAGTGTAGCCGAAAGCAGGAGAAGGCTGAACATAGCCAACATTCTTAAGAGGTGAAGCAGCAACAACGGTGGTCGCAGGTTGGACATAGCTCCTAACCTCAAAGTTCTTAAGTGGAGAAACATAAGTGGGCTGCACATAGCGATTGAGCTCGATATTCTTGATTGGCTCAGCTGACAGGTAAGTGGCAGGAGAAAGAACAGTGGATTTCATCTGGATGGGAGACACAGGAAATATATGCTTGTATTCATCCAGTGGGGCCACAGGGAGGACATGTTTGTAATCAGTGGATTTTACCTCCACAGGGGCAGCATAGGCAGTGGCAGGGACGACTTGTTTCATCTTGTCGCTCTTAATCTCATATGGATAGACAGCTGCAAGATCGCCCAAAGCATAACCCTGATTCTGGAGAATGCTATATGAGAAGCTATCTCCCACACGATCAGACTTGACCACAGAAGTTTCCACTGGTAGCACAGCAGCAGCATTGGCTGCAGCGACAAGGCACAGAATGGTAGCGATCTGTAACAGCATGCCAGTTCTTTGGTAACTAACTGCAGAATTTACTAACTTCAAAATACAATTTGTATCTTATATGCGTCATGTTTGTGTTTGATTAAATATATTTATTTTGTACAGTCTATACACAAACGTTTGAAGTTTATTGGTGTTGTAAAAATTATATAATATTAAAACATTTTATTGTGTAAAATATTATATT